GGGAGGGGAGGAGGGGAGGAGGGAGGGGAGAGGGAGAAGAGGAGGGAGGGAAGGAGGAGGGAGTGTTGCTCACCCGAAATGTCTCCTGTGAAAGGAGAGACAGAAAGAAGGTAAGAGCTGGAAGATGGGATGGAGTGAGTGCTGTAAAAGCTGTCTTCCAGACATGACGCAGCCATGGCTCTCATGACCGCAGTGACCTACACAAGGTTGGGTCCTTCAACATCTTGTCATGGCTGGGGGAGGAAGAAAGAGCACATGGCCCCAGCCCTCACTAAGGGGCTATTAGCATGCGATGGTGAGGGAGGAGGAACCATTTTCTTCAGTGCCCTGGCCACGGGTAAGCTGCCCGTGCTGCAGTAAACAACCCCATGGCCAGGCTCACACAAGCCACCCTAACGCACGTGCGTCACACAAAACGTTCACTTTTCACCATGAGGTTGAAAGGATGATTAGTTGTGATAAGAAAGGTTCAGGGCTGGAGGAAGGAGACAGGAGAGGGTACCAGGGGTGAGTATGGTGTGCGGATTATTACAGTATTCAAAAAGCTAATAAGTTAAAAGAAGTTCCAGGTCATTTTCAGCTACATAATGAGTTTGAGTTCAAAGCCACCTTGGCTTACATCAGACTTCATCCCTGCCACCGCCACCCCCACCCTAAAAAAAAAAAAAAAAAAAAAAAATTGAGACGTTTAAGATATCAGCCATAGAGCATTAAACCACATGAAAGGCCCTAGTGAGCATGACTGTGAAAGCTGATAAGTAGAACTTAGCACTGTTACTCACTTGATGACATTTGTAAGAGCAAAAAGACAGATGATTGATAGATAGATAGATAGATAGATAGATAGATAGATAGATAGATAGATAGATAGATAGATAGGGAGACATCTGTAAGTCGTGAATGTGACAAAGAACTCTATCAAATCTGTAAGAATATGTCAGACTGTTCATGAAGGGAAATGGGCACCTCACACAAAAGAGTGTCAGGACAGCCAATAATATCATTCACAGGTGCTGAATTATGTCAGTAATCAACAGAATTAAACTCACACAGCCACTACGCCAACAAAATTAACAGACTGTCTGTATCATGGTCGCTGCAGATCCGCCTGATCCTTCATTCTCCTCCTACAGCGTTTCTCACATTCTCACATACAAAGAGTCTATTTCTCGATTCCGAGTGAGCAGGGGACCCAAGGGACCAAGGACAGTGGACTGTGGACTGTCCGGAGCTCTGGAAGAATAGATCTGTTCATTCACGCAGGGCTGCTGGCTGGGGGACAAATTGGCAAACAGGGACCGTCATTTGCAAAGATTCCGTCCAGGTACCTGGACTGAGTTAGCTGTCTGTATCTGTTGCATACCCTTGGACTTTTAATTATGTCTGCCAATCTGCTTGGGCATTTAAATCCTTTTTAGTCATGCTTCTGTAAGCCATGACCGAAAGAAAACTGTTCACTATTACAATGCTGTGACAAAACAAAACAGTCTGAAAAGCAGTGTCTAGAGCCCACCGGCTCCGAGGATAAAGGCTCCTGCCTCCTAACCTATTCATCTGAGTTCAATCCCCTGGTCCCATACAGTAGAACGAGAGAACCAGCTCCCAAAGACTGGCCTCTGACCTTCACATATAGATACATATACGTGTGCACAGAATACATACACACACACACACCTGCACACATGTACACACAACTGCACACACTGACACCTGCACACAAACACACACACACACACAAAGGACACTCACCTATTGGACAAGGCACCTGTACCTTGCAGACATTTCTAAGAAACAGTAAGACTCGGGATGCTCCAGTAGACTTGTTCCTAAGACAAGGCTGCCTGCCAGCTTTCTGAGAAGCCTGTGTGTACTGCTAAGGCTTTGATACGGCCACATCCTTTCATATTTTGCTCATGTTTTCTCTGATCACACCTTTAAAGTTACAGCCATGTTTTATGACTTGATTTGGAATAGCCTTTCACCAACAGCTCAACCAACCTAGCGTTTACCAAGATTAGAAAGTCACGTGACGCCGAGAAATGGCTTCTGCTTTCAGAAAGAGGGGATTAAGCAACGCGGGCAAATATCTCAACAGCCCGTGCTTAGATAAATACGAGGGAAATGTCTTCCGCTCTCAGACAAACACTGACCCTGCACCCCTGTTTCGGCTTGTTTGGTTTGCTTATTTGGAGTTTGGAGGAGGTTTCGTGTTGGGTTTTCTTTGGAGATGCGTCTCACTATGTGTAACAGTCTGGCCTCAAACGCCTGATCCTCCTGACCCAACATTCCTCTCATTGTCTTACAGCCGTTCAGTGGGTTTCCCCACACGCCAAGCTATGTCTGTCCGACCCAATCGTTCAGCCGAGATAAGCGTTTCCTTCCTGTGCAGACTGTACTAACTAAAGCAGCGCGGGCCACAAACCAGGGATTATTCCGTTTCCTGCGCATTACAAAACTCGGAGATGCTGCAACAATATTGCAGAGCCAGAAGGGGGAAATCAGAGCGCTCGTGATCGTCAGTGGGAAACGTGGACTTTTGAGGCTGCTGTCTTCCAGCTCCTTCTCACTCACTCAGTTAAGGCGGCTTTTGGCAAATGGTTAAACTTGCTGAATCTCCGTGTTCTAACATGATGTGCCCAAGGGAGTTGCCAGAAGAGAGGAAGGCAATAGTTGGGCATAAGGCATGCGCTCGATAAATGATCACAGCTGCGCTGATATTTTTAATTAGTATTAAAATGGTTATTAAAAATATTCTTAGGTGATACAGAAGGAAAACACCTTCTTCTTTAAGACAAATTGATCCTGACCCTCTTTCCTGTTTGTTTCGTTTGTACGTTTTTGTTTTTGTTTGAGCTAGAATCTGGCAGTGCAGCCCAGGCTGATCTCACAATCTTGATCCTCCTGCTTCAACCTCCTGAGAGCTAAGAATACAGACGGACTACCACAAACCCGGCAGACAGTGCTTTTTTTCATTCCTACCTCCCTCCGTTGTAAAATGAAGAGACACTTGTCTGTGGTGGTTTGGATGAGAATGGCCCTCAAGGTCTCGTATATTTAAATGTTTGGTCCCCAGTTGGGGAACTGGTTAAAAAGGATTAGGAGGTGTGGCCTTGTTGGAGGAGGTGTGTCTCTGGGAGTGTGCTGTGAGATTTCAAAAGCCCATGCCAGGCCCTGTCTGTCTGTCCCTGTCTCTGTCTCTGTCTCTGTCTGTCTCTGTCTCTCTCTCTCTCCCCTACTTGTGGACCAGAAGTAAGCTCTCAGCTACTGCTTCATCACCATGCCTGCCTGCTGCCAATGGGCCCCACCGTGATGGTCACAGGCCAATCCCCTGAAACTGTAAGCAAGCCCCCAATCAAATGCTTTCTTTTATAAGATGCTTTGGTCATGGTATCTCTTCACAGCTATAGGAGTCACTGCCATAGACTTTTATAAGAAACCATGAAGTGTACGCAGTTGTTTTCACCTGGGTTCTGGGGGGTCCCAACTCACCAACTCCTCACACGAGCTTCTCCTACCCACCAAGACATCTCCCCAGCCCCAACTTCCACATTTAATAAAAACAAGTCAACACATGGTATCTGAATGGGCCGTTGCCAGCTACTACTGAAGAGAGAGCGGTTTGTTCAGCACTGGCAGAGTGGGATCTCGGTTCTGAAGAGCTCCAAGTGTGTTTGCTGTGAGCTGACTTTGCAGAGAGAGTGTGAGGTGCCGGAAGCAGGCAATGGGTGTGAAGTCTGCAGCTCTAAAGCATTTGTACTACCCAGGAAGGCACCCAGCTAGTTGGGAAAGGCTCCAGACAGCCCCACGGTCTCTCGAATAAAAAAGAAAAAAGAAAAAAAAACTGGCTAGAATTGAAGAGACATACATTTAAACTACGTAGGGAGGATACAGCCACAGACTCACGAGTCGAGTTGGGTGCTGGTGGGCACATCTGTCTAAAAGGCACAAATGTCAGTCCTTCTATCAATCAAATACATCTAAAGTCCACCATTAGTCAGTCTCCAGTGACTAATACAAATAGTCCACCAAGCTCCGCCTCCTCTCCTCTGCCCCACCAACCTCGTCCCTCATGTCCTCCCTACACATCGGAGCTCCACGCTTCTACCAGCTTGTGCTTTTCACTTCTTATAGAAAAGCTAAGAATTAAGTAGACAGACACAAAGCTAAAAGAAAAAAATCAAAACCAATCTTTCATATCATATGGGGGAAATCATGTTTACTGAACACATTGGAATCGGTCAGGAGCCATGAAAAGCTATTATGTACAATGCATGCCAACGCTATGTGGACACACAAGCATGCAGATCCATGCACACACACCCTCCTGTCACCCTTCCCTAGCTCTTCAGATAACTGCAGGACTAGAGGAAAGTCTGTCTCCTCAACCACATTCCTCTCGGTGTGGACCATTACGCCACCACCGTGATCACCGAACAGCATTCTGCTTTATATCCATCAGATGAAACCTCTCCGTCAAAACTGTGAATAAGGTGAGGTTAACAAATAGCAATATATTGAAGAGGCAGAAAACACACCATCAAATGGGATTTTGAGGCTGCTAATGCTATTATTGAAAAACTAAGCCCTGGAATGGCTTTCAAGAAAACAGGCACATCTTAATTTTGGAATTAAGACAAAAAAAAAAAAAAAAAAAAAAAACTTTGATCTGTTTACATATAAAATATGACCAAAGAAAAAGCGACTCTGACATGCACCCAAGACACTGCCCCAGGCATTTTATGGGAACTTGCACCTGTGTTTGCCATACCTGCTCCCCTCTCCGCCACGCTGCGTGTAAACGAAGAAGACAAAACAAGAACAGGGACATGTTAGCAGAATACCACAGAATGCCACAAGATTCATTCAGAAGTTTCAACCCCTAACAATGGCGGTGGGCCCGTCCCTGCACACTTTTCTAATTCAGCTAACAAGCTAGGCAGCTCTTAGTTAAAAGTGGGCAATGCAAGACGCAGGTTTCATTTGTCCAAATGCTTTGCCCTTCTTGGATTTCAGAGCAGGTGGTGCGTGGCTCTGATGGGTCAGGCCAATCGTTGACTCTCCTCATTAGAGCACAGAGATTATGGGGGAACAAGGACGTGACTTTTAAGTCACTCGGGCTAGCATAAACAGCAACCATCGTCAGAGTGAAGGGTGACCTCAAATCGTGAATAATAAAACCAGGATTTAACATTAGGCATGAAGCATTCATTTTAAGTTTTTAAAGAACAGGGAGCTGTATTGTTTGGTTGGTTCCTGAACTTTTTAAAATACTGCAAGCAGCGTCGTCTGCTGCCGCTTGCTTCACTGACCAGCGCAAGCGGCAGAGCACGGACTGACACCCCAGACCCCAGGACTTACTTCTCTTCTGTGACACAGCCTGCAGGCAGGCTGTCACAATGTCGCAGTTCTTCTGAACCTTATGCAGGAGTCGGTCTTTCTGCTTCAGCTGCCGGAGTAACTTCGCCGACTGGATGCCAATCCTGTACTTCAGCTCTCGAAGGATTGTCTTCAGCTCACTGGAGTCTATCAAGAGAGAAAAAGAATCAACCCTTTGAGAGAGGGCTCTACCCCAAGCCCCCGTGTGCTACCCGTCAGAAGGTACGTATCTAGAAAATGCATTTAAATCCACTCACTCCAGTCTTTCATCCGGGATGACACGGACGTGTTCCGCTAAGACATTCCAGTCCCGTGAGCCACGACCATTCATCTCCCACTCTACTCATAAGACAAACTCTCTAAGGTAAATGTTATCCTTGATGCCGCATGTTAACATGTAAGCAAAGACGCCTGCTTTTACTGTAACTAGCTCCAGGTGCCCACTTACCTTCCCATGCTTGAAAATCTAGCAGCTATCCAGCCTGGTGGTGCAGGCCTAAAATACCACCTACTCAAGAGGCTGAGGCAGGAGGATCCCAAGTTCAAAGCCAGCCAAGTGCACCTAAGTGCCAAGTACACCTAAGTAAGATCCGGTCTCAAGAACGGTAAGTGCTGTGGAGACCGTTAAGTACTTACCATGCAAACTCACCAACCCCAGCACCCACATAAAAATGCAGTCATGGTGGCACACTGGCCTCTGACCGCTACATGGACACACGGACACACACGTATGGACACACATGTACACAAAAATAAGTAAATAAAAAGTAAAAGAGGGCTCAGTGGCAGGGGCTTTGCCTATCATGGGTAAGGTCCTGGTTGTTCCAATCCCAAGACCACAAGAATAGAAAACAGCTAAAAACAGCTCTATCAGTGGTCAGTTAAAAGCAAATCACGTCAGCACGTTTTGTAATGTAGAGGAATGTGGTTGTGCTGGTTTTGTTTTAAATGGGTGGCCTTCTGATGGCCCACTCGGTAAATTTCATTTTAGACCTTCCCTCAGTAATGATCCATACATGGCAGAAAATGTATTTCCTCTAAAAGGATCGAATGATTCCAGATTCTGAGGCTGGAGAGACGACTCAGCAGTTGAGATCACTGACTCCCCAAAGGACTAGGTTCAGCTCCTAGCGCACTGGGCGCTGACAACCACCTGCACCTCCAGTTCCAGGGGATCTGACACCTTCTTCTGACATCGGCAGGCGTGGCACACACATGGTGCACAGACATGTAGGCAAAACTCCCAAACGCATAAAATAACTTTTAAGAAATTCAAAGAACTAAGAACCGTAGTAGTAGTTAATGATAATAATGCTTCTGCATTCCTAAAACTAATGCTCACAATAGTATGAGATAATATGAAAACCCCACTTCGTTTTTGATGTTACAACTTGTATTTCTCTGTATTATGTACTGCTTATGGAAACATGTTCGGATCCCCATGTAGAAATGTGTGTCAACTCCCTGTTTCCCACTAAGTAACGGAGGAAACTGGTCAGCTGGAAAATTGACCAATTTCCTCTCTAAGGAATTTTATCCTTATATGATAAATGGGTTTATAATAATGAAAATTATCTCTAACATTCCCTGAGCACTTAACACACATTAACTTAGGTAAATAGCTTGCCCAAAGGCCGTAAAGCTAGCTAGAAATGGTGGCAGCCTGTCAACTAGGGAATCTGACTCCAAAGTTCAAACCCTTCACCACACACAGTCCAGTTTCCTATCGAAGCCATTTTGGTACTGCCCCTGAAACCACAGACAGACAGACAGACACACACACACACACACTATCTGGATGGGTGCTATGTTGATCCAACAACCAAGTGTTCAACAGTGAGAGAAGGAGACTAATGCCCCGGGTTATCTGCATTATGTGGAACTCAAGTGAACACGGCACTTAGACTTACGTTAGAATGGCTAGCTTTGGCTGGGTGGCGGTGGCGTACAGGCTTTTAATCCCAGCACTTGGGAGGTAGAGCCAGGCGGATCTCTGTGAGTTGGAGGTCACCCTGGTCTACAGAGCAAGATCCAGGGCAGGCATAAAAACTACACAGAGAAACCCTGTCTCAAAAAACAAAACAAAAAACAAAATTGGCTAGCTTTGAGACTAAAAACAATCAACCCAGTGAGCACTATTTCCGCAAACAAGGGCATCGATCACCTGATTGTCTAATCACAGTGTTCTAATGATGTTTATCAACAGACACAATATGTCCCTATGTGGCGCCTTGTTCACCCAACACAGTCAACTACAAGGAAAGAAAGGATTCACGGGCAACTGGGTGAGCAAGGAGATGTGAAACTGGAGAAATGGACCCCTGCAGGTCCTGGGAGTAATTGGTAGAGCGGTTGGCCACGTCACACATGGGACGTGCACTTGCAAACTGTAAACTTTGGCTTGCCAGTTTCCCTCTATGAAAAGGAAGCTAGCAGTTCCCAAAGCTTCCTGGTGGTGAACCGTGAAAAGAGCCAGCCCTCTATAACGAGGAAATCAATTCATAATTTCCAAAACTGATTCTGCTGGTGTTTGAACTATTGCCCTATAGCAAGAGTTTGGGCATAAACACATGTTCTTAGCACAGTTGGATAATTATATATATATAAAAAATGGTCCAACTCCAGCCAAAGTACCGAAGCCAGCTGGGGGGAGGTGGGAGGACGTCACTAGGAAGTCGGGAAAGGAAGCTGGGAACTGTTTACATAGGTAGAAGAAAGCAGACAGATTTATTGCTTTTCTGGGTTGTTTTTTTTTTTCCCCCTTCCTAGAACCAGCTAGACTGGATACAGCAAGTCCAGGAGCACTGTATAATTCTCTTTATCCCTCCCATGGTCATTTAGCACAAGACAATACTTGCAAGAAATGTGATGGTGAATTGCCTTCTGTTCCCCACCCCTTACTAAATTATGTAAATTGAGGTTTCCCTAGATCTATGCAAAAAAAGACAGCTGTAACTAATCCTGATTCCTGAAATACAAGCGGTCATCCTTGAGAAATAATAATAATAATCCTCTCGACCAGAATGTGAGCCTCAGAGTCTGATAACAAAAGAAATATCAAATTAGCCTCTCCTCCGAGGAAACCAAGGCCATTTCTCAGCTCGACTCTCCGGGTCGGTGGAAGGTTGCTGCCGTTAAATGCACCGTGAAGGCTAAGCGCTCACTCAGGATCCCCCCTCAAATCCCTTTTCAGAGACCCAGATTAAACCAAAGCTGCTGGGAACTCACGCTCCGCTGCGGAGCTGCATTATCGAATTATTCTGCCTCCCTAGCTAAACCCTATCCAAGTGGCCTGGCTAGGGAAAGGGGGTGGTTGGGGGGGGTGGGGGTGGAAAGCCCTAGAAGTCTCTCTTCTCCGGGCGTTCTCTAGATAACTTCTGGTACACAAGGAAGAAACTCCAAGCTAGTCCTAACAGCTGTTGGGGTGAAGTTAGAGTCTAGGTGGCCTCTAGCCTTGGACACCTGAGGGGCGTGGGGGAGATGGGGAGACCATGCTCTCTGAGCCACACCTGCAGAGTAGGAGGGGCTGAGCATTAGGAAATAGACCTAGTCAAAGTGTGACCGTAGGTCCCGGGAGTCAGAGGAAGGGAGAGAGTCCACACTCTCCGGGTGTGCGACAGGGCAGCGACGTCCAGGTGGCGCAGATGGGGAGACAGGTGGGCAACCGGTGCCGGTGGGCAGGTGGCACAAATGCCCAAGTGGACAGGCGGCGCAGGAGGGCAGGTGGGCTGGGGGCGCGCACGGCGCAAAGTGGACCGGTAACGCAGGAAGGCTGGGGGGCGGGAGGGCGCAGGCGGGCAAGTGGCACCGCCGGGCAGGAGCTCACCTTTCCGCCGCAGGTACTGCATCTGCAGCCGCAGGCTCGGCCGCTGCCGCAGCTCCTGCAGCACCCGGGAGTCGCCCACGCCGCGGCCGCCCAGGAAGGCGTCGGAACCCGAGGTCTCGGTGGAGCTATCCAGGCTGTCGCTGCGCGGGGGGCGGCCCCGGCACGCACGGTCCCCGCCGGCTGCGGCCGCCACCTCCTCCTCCTCTGTGCAGCTGTAGAGCTCGGTGAGCAGCCCGCTCACCAGGGACGCCGTGCGGCTCGTGCGGCCGGGGGGCTGCGGCTCCTCGTCGCCCTCGCCCGCCGGGTGCCCCGCCACCACCGCCGCCACCTCCTCCTCCTCCTCGGCTCGCAGCGGGTCCCGCGTCCCACCCGCGGGAAGGACCTCCATGGCTCGCACCGCCACGACGCCCCGCCAGTTCCGGGAGGGCGCGGCCACGCGGGCTGCAGAGTGCCCGGCAAGGGTCCAAACGCCAACCAATGGGCGGAGGCCGGGGTTCCGGCTTCACCGCCACCGGCGCCGCGCCCAGGTCCTCCCGCCGTCCCACCTGACCCCCGAGCGTCCCGGGAGGCTGCACGGGAAAACCTTCCTAAAACTCTGCCCATCTGGCGTGCACGAGGGTTTTAATGACGCTGGGAATCCTTTCCCTCCATTAGAAGACCTGGATTAAGAGCAACTGAATTCCATGACACGCTGTGAGGGTTTAATAAACCTTCCTGAGTTGACCGAGCTAATAAAACTCGCTAGAGCTGGTTTTAATGGTTAGATCGAGTTGATGAGAGATTTATCTTTTTTCTTAGATGATAGATAGATAGATAGATAGATAGATAGATAGATAGATAGATAGATGATAGATAGATAGATAGATAGATAGATGATAGATAAATGATAAACAGATAAATAAAATTATTATGGAGTGTGTGCACTCTCATCCCAAAACAGTAGAGGTCAGAGGACAACTTTGTGTATTCAGTTCCCTCCTTCCAACTCTAAGCAGGCTCCAGGGATCAAACTCAGGGTTGTCAGACTTGTTGGACAAGTGCCTTTGCCTGGTGAGCCCTCTGGACAGCCCCAGAGATTTATCTTCACACTAGGACTTCAGAAGGATTTTGATACCATCACCGTAGATATCTTTGTGAAATGTAGTCCTATGGACCGTCACTTTAACCCTGTGATGTCCTCGCTTTTCAGTGAGGGCCCTGGAGCAGTGAGGCTGGATGACTTGCCACAAAGCTACCTTGAACTTTTATTAGAGTCTGCCTCTCATTAGGCGTAAATACTCCTCCGTCTAATGCTGTAATTGCACCTCTAAGGAGCCCACAGAGCTTCTGGAGAACAGTGGCAGGCTTCCTGTGTGTTCACGCTTCTTACACTTTGGGAATGAATACAAACATGCTGCCCTTGACCACATCACTCTCCAGGTCGTTACCATCTTGCCTTTGTGTGGGATGGCAGGCCCCAGCATGCTGAATAATAAAGGCTCTTGCTGGGCTGGAGGGATGGCTCAGAGGTCAAGAGCACTGACTGCTCTTCCTGAGTTCAATTCCCAGCAACCACACGGTGGCTCACAACCATCTGTAATGAGATCTGGTGCCCTCTTCTGACCTGCATGTGTATATGCAGACAGAACACTGTATACATAATATGTCTTGTGGGACTTCTCCAGACCCTAACATAAGCCAGAGGGGTCGAACTAGCAAGAAGCATTCCTCTGTGGTCTCTGCCTCCGTCTCTGCCTCCAGGTTCCTGCTTTGAGCTCTTGCCCTGGATTTTCTTGATGATAGAACATACTGTGTAAGATGAAATAAACCCTTTCCTCTCCAGGTTTCTTTCCATCAGTGTTGTATCACAGCATTATAAGAGCTAACTAGCACAGTCCTCATTGACAACTGCCTAAACGAGACTCTCAACATTTTGATAATTTTTTTTAACAAGTGCAGATACACACCTGAGAAATGATGAAAGCTACGACTGTATTTGGAATTGATGCTTTCTAATATCAGGCAGTGAGCATTTTACTGTTGTCCTTCAAGAACTCCTCCTTGGCCAAGTCAGAAGAGAAACACAAAACATTGCCAACCAGTTTGTCCTCATGGGAACTCAATTTTGCCCTTTAATTTGGCTGTTTAAAAATTAATCATGTGCTCAGAACGCCATACAGTCTGCATTTTCAATTCAGTTACTATGCACGAGGAAGATTCTTATTTCTCAATCTAAAGAGATGGGATGGAGGGTGACAAGGGTGTTTTAATGCTTTTGAAAGCCATCAAATCTTTTTTTTTTTTTTTTTTTATGGTTTTTCAAGACAGGGTTTCTCTGTGTAGCTTTGCGCCTTTCCTGGAACTCACTTGGTAGCCCAGGCTGGCCTCGAACTCACAGAGATCCGCCTGCCTCTGCCTCCCGAGTGCTGGGATTAAAGGCGTGCGCCACCACCGCCCGGCTGAAAGCCATCAAATCTTACACAGACTTCAAGACATACAAGACAGGTCTCTTCTTTGCATAACGGGAATTTCAGTCAGGGCCTCACACATTCTATGACTAGAGGAAATCATAGTGGAGTACAGAGAACTGCCAAGAAAGGACTCACAACCTCCCCTCTGCACACTCCAGAACCCCAAGAACCCTGAGGTGACAGGCCAACGGCTCCCACCCAGGCCTCCCACACACAGCAGTACATGGGGCCTTCTGAAGTCAGAGAGATCTGAGAACATCATCTTTCACCTCAACACAGCTATCCCAGCAATTCCCTCTATAAATCTGGACTGCTCTCTGTCTTGGCCAGAGAAGTTTCTCTCTGCGGCAGGCAGCATCATGTAGGGACTCATAAATGGTCAAAGTGCTGAAAATAAGTGACCGCAAGCCCTCAGTCCTAAATGGGACATCTATGTCACACCACACATGCACAAACACACAGTCACACCCTACCAAGGCTCAGGAAATATCACAGAAGAGGGAAGAAAAGAATGCAAAAGCCAGAGAATTTGGAGATGAGGAGGAGTGTGGTAGAATATTAATTTAAGATGTGTTACATTTGTTTATGCTGTGGAACATTTGTTTAATGATGCAAAGATGTGTTGCATTCTTTTATGTTGCATTTGTTTAACTCTGTGAAGCTGTGTTACTGTGCCTGTCTAAAACACCTGATGGTCTAATGAAGAGATGAACAGCCAATAGTAAGGCAGGAGAAAGGATAGGTGGGGATGGCAGGTAGAGAAAATAAATAGAAATTTGGAAGGATAGAACAAGGAGAGAAGGATGCCAGGGACCAGCCACGCAGTCACACAGCCAGCCACAGAGTAAGCATGAAAGTAAGATATCCAGAAGAAAGAAAAGGAAAAAGCCCAGAGGAAAAAGGTAGCCGGAATAATTTAAAGTTAAGAAAAGCTGGCAAGAAACAAGCCAAGCTAAGGCCAGGCGTTTGTAATTAAGAATAAGCCTCCATGTGTGATTTATTTGGGAGCTGGGTGGTGGGCCCCCCAAAGCCAAAAACAACAAACAATAGAGGATCACTGTGAAATACTGCCTTTTAAACACAGCAATTGCACTCATGAACCCACAGCGGCAGTAGTTCCCAGCAATTAGCACTAACTATACTTAGTGGGGAGAGACAGCTTCGGAGAGGGAGAGGGGAGGGTGGACATGGAAGAACTGGTGAGTTGGGGGGGGACGGAGAAAAGAGATGTTGGGGGAAGCAGATAAATCAAGATACACTATAAATATGAAATTGTCAATGAATAAATAAAAACACTCTAAAAATTTATACATCTGTTTAGTGGATTTTGTTTTGTTTTGTTTTTGAGACAGGATCTTGCTATGTAAAACCAGGCTGGCCTCGAATTCACAGAGATCAGCCCTGCCTCTGCTTCCTGAGGGCTAAGGTGAAAGGTGAGTTCTTTTTTTTTCTGCCATGTACAACACGATTTCGGGTGTTCTTTGCCTACTCTCAGAATCGTGAGAGGGAGATCTGGTCACATGGCTGTGTCCCTGAGGCTGGTGGGTTTCATTCGTTTCTACTAAGGGCAATGTCGTCTTGTCCTCTGTCCCGCTAAGTGACTTTATATCCTCCCCAGTTTTGCTATTGCACACAGTGTTGCTGTGGATGCTTTTTATTTTTGCCTCCTTGTGGACGTGTGCAAGAGTTTCTGACGGGAGGGTGAGTTCATAACTGGCTGGGTTGATGAGCCTACGTGCAGCCAGGTTCCCCCTCGAGGGAAGCCACATCTCAGGTCGCAGGGAACCTGGCTCATTCCCTTCTCTGCATGTCCCGGATAGCTCCCCAGAGTGGCTCTGCTCCTTCACACTCCACAGCAGCGCATGAAGACACCCATTTTCCTACCACGCAAATTGGACTTCACATGTTTATCAACATGGAGAATCCAAAACGGCCCTCTTTTCCTTTTAACGTGTGTCTCCTTAAAGGCCTACAAGGATAAACATGTTTACATAGGTTGATAGCAGTTTGTCTTCTTCCTTGTGTTGTTTGGATGATGTAGAACGGTCTGGGAGGCACAGGCCTGACCTGCTCAGGATGATGCCCCATGGGAAAAGGCCACTGATTACAAACTGAAGCAACTTTAAGTGCTATTTACATAATTAAGTGTGAATGCGGCCCAGCGAATAAGGTGCACGTTGGTGTTCACTTGAAAAGCTAAAAACTCCTGAAGTACTGAGACAGGGGAACCTGACTTTGACAAATGTATCCTGCCTTTTATGTTTTCCGGTTTTCACTCAAATGCCAACAACATGAATACACTTTCTGGGCTGGAGAGATGGCTCAGACAGCGGTTAAGAGCACTGGCTATTCTATAGGTCCCGAGTTCAATTCCCAGCAACCACATGGTGTCTCACAACCATCTGTAATGAGATCTGGCGCCCTCTTCTGGCCTGCAGGCATACATGTAGACAGAATTCTGTATACATGGTAAATAAATCTTAAAAAGAATACACTTTTCATTAAATAATAATGTCTGTATGGAGTCTACCAGGCTCCTCTGTGGTGTTATTTTATTTGTGCTGAAATGTGACATTTTATTTGTATGTTAATAAAGTTTGCCTGGAAATCAGAGGTCAAATAGTCAGCCATAAACAGAAGTCAGGCAGTGGTAGCACATGCCCTTAATCAGACCACATGGCAGGCAGAGTCTCTGTGTGTTCAAGGACACAGCCAAGCGTGGTAACACAGGCCTTTAATCCCAGTACCAACCATAGAGACCTGGAGGTCTGCATAGACAGGCAGTGATGAGAAGGTGATGTGGCTGGGTTAAGAGCCAATGAGAAGGCAGAACAGGAAGGCAATAAAGGCACAGGTTAGACAGGAAGAGGCTCTCTTGGGAAGCTACGGTGACGTGGTAAGCTAAGGTTAGTTGGCAGCTATTGCTCTGATGTCTACGGCTTGCACCTCTGTATTTGGCTCTGTGGTTTCTTATTTAATAAGACTGTTTAGAAATTCGTCTACACTCTCTCCTCCAAAGAAACAAAGCTTTAAACAATGAGGACATCATTGTGACCATGTTTTCAAGTATTAAGTCCTTGTACAGGAAAAGGACGTCATATAAAAATCACACATCACTGGTGAGCTGGGTGCTCCCTTCCACGGATCTAAGGCTGAGGAGGGCCGTGCTGAGGAAGCCCCAATCTCCTGATTCTGCTCTCTGCTCCATGGGGCTCTTTAGTCCAGA